TACCAGTCTCATCATCTGGTGGCTGTTCCCCCTCAACTACTTGGAGAGTCTCACGGTGGCCGCCTGCGTAACAGCTACCGACCCGGTTCTTGCCTCGTCTGTTGTTGGTAAGGGTAAATTCGCAAAGCGAGTGCCTAAGCATCTAAGAGATCTGCTGTCTGCCGAGTCTGGTTGCAATGACGGCATGGCCTTCCCGTTTGTGTATTTGGCCCTCTACCTGATCCAGGATCACCTCAGTGCACGGGAAACCACCTTCCACTGGTTCGTCTACACCATTATCTACGAATGTATTTTTGGCGCCTTCTACGGATTCGTCATTGGCTACATTGCCCGGCATGGTATCAAGATTGCCGAACGACACGATCTCATTGATCGTGAAAGCTTCCTGGTCTTCTATTTCGTGCTGGCTCTCTTTTGTGCTGGCTCGGGCAGCATATTGGGCGTCGATGACTTGCTCGTTGGCTTTGCTGCCGGTGTTGGCTTTTCCAACGACGGGTGGTTCCACGAGAAGACGGAGGAATCCCACGTCTCCAACGTTATTGACTTGCTGATCAACCTGGCTTATTTCGTCTATCTGGGTACGATCATCCCCTGGGAGATGTACAACAACTCGGCAATCGGCTTGACCGCCTGGAGACTTGCGGTCATGTCGATATTCGTCATCTTGTTCCGTCGCATACCGATCATGCTACTGTTGAAGCCCATCATCCCAGACGTGAAAACCTGGCGCGAAGCTCTCTTTGCTGGTCATTTTGGCCCCATAGGTGTAGGCGCTATCTTCGTGGCAATTCTCGCCCGTGCCGAGCTGGAAACAGAACACACAGTCCCTCTCGCAGAGATTCCGCCACCGGGATCGGAGAATTACCAGGTCATCCTGCTTGTTTGGCCAATTGTCACATTCATGGTCATTTCATCTATTCTCATCCACGGCTCATCCATAGCGGTCTTCACTCTCGGCAAGCGTATCAACACTCTTTCCTTGACCATGTCGTATACTACTGCTCCGGAAGATGGCCCAGCTTGGATGAGCCGCTTGCCTCGTATCTCATCACAGTCTCGATCCCAGGCACGAACGATGTCCGATACAGACTACGATGATTTGAAGTCGCCAGATTTCCCCCCGGGGACACTCCCACCAACCGGTATGACAGGCCAATTCTTGCGGCGCCAACAAGAGGAAGAGAAGGACAACCCAAGCCGAGCCGGGAGTCGTCAATCCTCCCTTGTCAGTCGGCGGCGTAGGAAGAAGTGGGATGATGGCATCGGTCCCGGTGGACCGGTTTCTCAGTCTGCTATATTCCCCCAGAGACGAAGTGCAAGCGACCAACCAGAGCCTATGTCGCCAACATCAGACGCCGAAAACTTTGGGCCACTGTCCCCTCGTCGAGATAGCTCGACTGGCTCGCCAGGGGAGGTTGCGCAGGGGATCAAAGATGAAAAGTCGTCAGGATCAACATCTGAAGAAGAACCGAAAGAGGTGGAACAGCCAAAATTAGAAGTGTATGATGAAGGGGATCATATCGTAATAGAAAATGAGGACGGAGAGGTGGTAGCAGTCGAGCCGACACAGCATCAATCCGCTTTAGCTGATACCGAAAAACTGAAAGAAAAGGCCAAGGAAGAAGTACAAAAGCCTAGCTGGACGTATGAGTCGTTGAAGAAGACTGTTGCCAAGTGGCGCGACGACGAAGTCCAGAAGCGCAAAGACAAACCCAAGGAGGAGCGCAAGCATGCGCCGGCATGGGCTTATCAATTTGGTAACACGGTAAGTGAAGCTTCCTTACGAATAGACAGTACAGCCGGCTGACCTGGGCGACAGATCATTGTTGAAGATGAGCATGGAGAAGTTGTGAAGAAGTACGATCTTCCTCCGCCCCAGCAAGGCGAAGGCAAAGACTACGTCGCGTCCAGCTTGAAATTCATGGGTATGGGTGGACTGGTGAAGCCGGGTGAGAGGAAACCGATCGACAACGGAGCTCAAGTTGGAGAGTCATCTCAAGGCCCATCAACGGCTGCAGCGGAACCGACGGTTGGTGTAGTCAAGCGTCCAACATGGGGCGGATTTAGCCGAGCAGCAAACGCCGAGCAGAGGAAGAAGGGCGGCAATACAGAAGCCCCCAACCAGGGCGAGGACGAAGACCGGGGCATCCGATTTACCATCGGTGCCGCAGGTAGACGGATGACCAAGGATGATTTCCTCAAGGAGATACAAAAACTTGAACGTTCAAACCGGGAAGTGCCAAACGAAGTGGATGGCCCAACCACCGAGCAGCCTCCGGCAGAGTCAGGACAGACCCGGAGCCCAGGCCCCGTTAACCCGCAGATCAGCGTCACGCAAGCCAGTGACGAAACTCGCACTGCGAGCAAGTCCCCCGCCCCGGCCGAGGCTCCTACTCGAGGTCGGAGCGGGTCTCGAACCAACGAGGAGGCGAAGGACGCGGAACCTCAGGAGACTGCTGCAGAGCGTCGACGTCGACTGGCGGCATTCGCGAGCGTGCGAGAGGATGACAATGGCGAGACGCCCGCGGAGAGGCGGAGGAGAGAAGCAGCATTAGGAGTCGTCAGCCCTTCTTCCGAGGAAAGCGATAGCGACGATGATAACACAGAGAGAGTTCCGCCTGAGAGACGAGGCATTAGGTTTGCTGAGGGTCCGGCGAAAAGGGCTTAGACTGCTTCCTTCTTGTCTCACTCAGGATACCATATTTTAATTACATAGATACGGAGTACGCTTCACCATAATAGCCCACTAGCTTTAGCGATAGATAATGCTAGACACTCTAGACAGTTGAGGTGATATATTTATGTGTTTACCGACTTAGTAGATATGTTAAGTAGGTAACAGCAACATCTATGATGATGTGTAGATAATAATTAGTATAATTAGCTAGCTTGTTGTTGACTTTTGTCTACCTCGCCGAGGTACCTAGAGCAAGTGTCAGGAATGAAGTTAAATCACGATGCCTTAGGTATATGTGTGTTGGACAGTGGGTGGGTGGTAGTAGTAGGTACCTAGTACTTAAGGTAATAAGTTGTTGTTTATGTATTAGGTACAGGTACTGATAATTCATGTGCCAATTGCGATGCCAATCCAATGACGAATGATGGCTTCCCAACGTCCCTTAGGTACATTAGGAAGAATTTAGGTAGGCCCGCTATGACGAGCTGCTGCAGCTCTACGATACAGGCGAGACAGGGTGACAGGCTTTCCTGACACACAGACCACTTTACAGCGACGGTGCCTACGTAGGTAAGTGCCTAAATAGGTAGGGAGGGACTAAGGGCCTCAGGTATTAAAACCGTGCTAGCTTCATGCGACGGACTGTATAACGGGACCTGATGATGAATTTTTTGATATGGCCTGCACTCCAGCTCTTGCGACGCTAACGTCCTACCTATCGAGCCTTCTCCGCGCCTCTGATCTTATCGTGCTCCTCCATTTCCCACTGCCGCAACAACAACGCCGTCACCAGAATCGCAGCGCACACAGTCAAAATGGTCCAGCTTCAAGAAATTGTCGATGAGCATTTCCAGGAGGACCAGGCTGGTCCCGAGGAGGATGAGGGCGATTACACAGACACAGGTACGTCAGATATGTTCCCTTTCCCTCTTCCATTTTCCATTTTCTATTTTCCAAAGTTGCAGATTGCCTTGCATTTCACATCTGCATTTACTTTCCTCTGCCGCTCCCTTTCACAGGCTGCGGGCCGCTTGCTGACCAATTTTGCTACCCTGCAGACTCCGAGATCTCGGATGAGTCCGAGTATGACCCCACCGACGAGAGCCTTGCCGAGCGCCTGTATGCTCTGCGCGACATAATACCTCCCCAAACGCGGGGCACCATCTCGAACACATTCACGACAACCGGCAACGCCATCAAGTCAGTTCTGTCGTTCGGCGGCAAGTCGTTATGGGTCATCAGCAGCTCGGCCCTGCTGCTGGGCATCCCGTGGGCGCTGGCCTGGTCCGAGGAGCAAACGGTGCTCGAGATGGAGAAGGAGATGAAGATGCGCGAGATGGGTGGAGATGTAAGCCGTACCACTGCGTCCGCATGGCCTGTGGTGCAAGTTCGCTGACAATAGACCTCACAGCTTTTGACCGCGGGCGTTGGCGATGGCGCTTCGACAGCACACCAGATTGGTGCAGCACTCGGCCCGGAGGCTAAGGCTTCGTTGTAAACCAACTTTGCACGAATTGATCCCCTGCGTCGCAGAGTCCGTGCACCACCTTGCACAGGATACAGAGGACACGGGGTCTCGAGACAACTTTGCAGCAAGCATCTGCTTTGTACCATTACGCGCTCATCAATACATAATACGAGCCAAACGACGCATCACACTCGGCGCATTCCCTGAGGTGGAAGGAGCTCTTGGGGTATCAATTGCTACGGTCCCCGATCTTCGTTTTTGATGTGGTTTCATCTCGCCGACTTCTATAGGTCCTAGGCAGGAAGGAAGTCTCACCTCACTAGCCGGAAGGCATATCTGCAGCATGCAGCACTCTTGTACCATATTTGTTGGGGATACGGACGGACGTATGTGTGAATCTCATGACGAGGGGGGCCTTGGTAACATAGATGGACTGGTTTTGTCCATTATCACGAATTAACTCCTGTTTTAATGACCATTCATTCCCTGTGTATTGCTCTGTTTAAATGGCGCAGAAGTCTTAGCTGAATTGAAGACTAGGGGTTATAGCAACTTTTCGCTGGCAGGTCTAGATCAAGGTACACGATTTTGTGATTATGGTAACTATGAAAGAAGACCTCAGGGCTTGCTTGGTATTCCTGCAGCTTGTTGTTCTGAATTATTCTAGTTGCCTGCTAACTGAAGCCCTACTGAGACACCTACTTAGTTGTTGGAAGTTATCCTAGCTATTCCATTAAGAGGCATGAGGTTTTTAAAAGAGAGGATGCTGGACTATTGGTGAATCAAACTGCTAGTTTCATAAGGTTATAGGTTGGTGACAACGCTGGCTATGATATGAGCTTATCTCAGATGATGGGCAAGATGGCCGAGCGGTTAAGGCGGTAGACTCAAGTTGTACTTGTCTGTGAACACAGAAACTATTCTACTGGGGCAACCCGCGCGAGTTCGAATCTCGCTCTTGTCAACGATATTTTTGTCTGTTTTGCCTTTCTCATAAATATGAGCAGATCATTCATCCATCAGTTGCCTCACCCAATTCTATGTTTTGTACGTAGTTTTATACGTAGTATAGGAATGGCCCCAAGCCTCAATCAAGCTTTGGTACCTACATGTAGAGCTGGTGGGAGGATCACGTGATATGAGATACACTTGGAAGCCTAGGCTACTGCCACACAACAAACACATCGACGGTCCCGTCAACAACTCTCTCACTGCCCAGGCTGCTTGGATCGCAACCTCTGTATCATTCGCCAGCTTCAAGCGAGAAGGGCACAGGCACAGGCAGGCACAGGCACTGGGCCTTGGGGCCGGAGCTTTCACGATGAATCGAAGGGAGCAGAACACTTTACTGGGTGAGTGCTGGAATACTACTCCCCCCCCAATCATCACTTAGTGCTTGCAGCAATCGGCATCCATGGCGATGAAGGTAGGAATGATACCTATACGAACGCAGCAAGGCCCTAGATGTTTGAGCGTCCTTACCCTCTTACACTACTCCAAGCACCCAATGCCCATGGCAACAGAGGTTTGGTAGTGCTGTAGTCACAGAGATCGATGGGCAACAAAATCCTGATGGCAGTTGGGCTACATACAAGCTGCCTCGCGATTCTTTTTTTTTTTCCTCAACCATCTCCCCCGAAAGCACATCTTCATCCTTCCTGCACCCCGAACAGTAAACACAAGACGACATCAATATCACAAACACCAATACCAACATCTATCATGGCTCCTGAGCAGATTGGCACCACATATGAGTCCGATATCAGCGAAGAAGACGATCTGGCTACTGGCGTCGATGGGCCGGTCTAGGAGACTCCTGTTGATGATGATGACCGTCACATTTGCCATGCGGGTACGGGTGGTGGTGGAAAGGAAGGCCAACATTCACAACCCACTCTTAATATCCCCATCGGCCGAGTGAATGAGACTGCTGGCGCTGGACGGGGTTCTTCGTCAGACCCTGTCTCGCCAGCTAAGCTACCAGAAGCCCTTCTGAACTTAGACTTCAGGACAATGTACAAGGACATGAGTAACAACCCTACTGGCCGTCCAGCTAGTCCTCAAAGCACTCACACTCCGTCCTCGGTAGCTTGGGCCAAAGCCGGAGAGCTAGATAGGACTTTTGCATCAACCAATCACACCAAGTCTACAAATACAAAGCCCAGCCCTAGGAAGGCTCCATTGGATAAAACCAACACGAAGCCGGCATCGCATGTTCCTGAGAAACGCCTGAAGCCAGACCAAAGCAAAATGCCTCCTGCTAACAAAGATACCCTGCTAGACCGGCACGAGAGAATCGTTGCTGCGATCCTTACAAGGTTCCGCAACATGGTGGACGCCGCCACCGCACCACTCCCCTCCGCGCCAGCGATTCCGCACGCAGCGCTGAACAGCATGGTAATGCACAACGAGAGCTCCGCCTTGGTATGTCATTTCCTATACCATCTAAGGCAGAATCAGCCCTGTTATCCATGCCATCGTCTCATTATCCAACGGCACCACCTCAACCCCTCCTCTTATTCACTACATAACAACACGGAGATGACTAGCCTTGTCGCTGATTTTAACGTTCTTCGTCATGTGCAGATTCACGAGATCGAGAATCTGCTCTCTCTGACCCGCGAGATCAAGAAGCTATGGATCGCCGGGCCGCTGCGCAAGCCTGGCGACGCCGACGAGAAGAGCTCCGAGAAGGTCCTGGACGAGAGAGCCGCCCGTGTCGCCAAGTACTACGAAACCCTCGTGATGTTAGAGAGAGAGAACGCCAAGAAGAAGAACCCGGCCCAACAGAACCCTTCTGAGCGTACCTCCATGAAAGATAAGCCCGCCGACGTCAAGAGTGGGAAGGGCGATGAAGCCGGCACCCGGGAGAAGCAGGGGTGATTCGCCTTGATACGGGAAGCACAAGCTGGGAGGGAAAAGTCATGGTGTTATCCGGATGGAGAACGAGCACAACTACTTAAGGTGTCTATGAGCAGTCCGTGGCGCAATCGTTGATGGGCTAAATATACGACAGTTGTCTACTTGATGAATAGTTGTATGGGGTAATAGGTTTGCCTACAGGATGGGGATACTACACATCAGAGTACTGATTTGCATGCCATTACACCTTAAGAAGTAGCGTGTAAATACTTGTTTGTGTATTCTTTTAAAGGCCTATCTACCCAGTGACTATTTGGTATGTGTGGTATGTGTGAACACTGTGATCTAAACCAACTTACATTATGCCTGCATCGCCTAGCCTTCTTCTTTGTCATTGACGTCTTCACCCTCATCACCCAGCTCGGCCTCTAATTCTTGTGGTATCTCGCGGGGACCCATCCTCTGCTGCGTCACCTCCAAACCTCCTGCTGTGACCCATAGGAAGAAATCACTCTTGAAGGTATCGATTTGGTTGAAGAATATGTGAAACCTATCGCTTTGGTTAGTCAACCTGGATGATTGGGGGGCATCGATGCCGGCACGCTAGTAGCACTTCTACGTGGAATTCGAAAATATGAAAAATAAAAGGAGAGACAAAACTTACGAGTTCTCCTTCTCCTCAAGCTCGAAGATGCGACGGTAGATGTGCTCTTCCTTGAATGCCTGCAGCTCCTTGTCGTAATTGGCGAAGTTCAGGTCTTCTAGGCCCAGATCCTCAACGGCTCGCTTGTTGTATGTGTCGAATACGGGACGCTCGAGGAGCAATCCCAAGCTAGGGGCTTTGGGGATACTGATGCGCGCGGGCGAGTAGCTCTCCTCGAAGCGGGACCACGGCGTCGCGCACCGCACAGCGAGGGCGGCTAAGCCGACCATCTTGCGGATCTGGTGCATCATGAATGACTGCCCGTGGACTTTCAAGGAGAGCCACTGAGTGTCGTTGATCTGGATGGGCTCGCGATTGACGATAAAGGATTTGATCGTTCGCTTGGAGGCAGGATCGTTGTGCGACTTTTGTATGGTGTAGTTGTGATAATTCTTGGTGCCAACGTACTTGTCCAGGGCCTCCTGAAGCTGGTCTAGGCGATCTGGTGTCACTCGATACCGCCGCTTAGCGGCGACATAGGCAGTCTTGATTTCTTTCAACGCCTTCTCAACTGGACTCAGTTCTTTCGGCTTGTATTCTCCATTCTCGGGCTCAGCTGGCTTCTCCGTAGAGGCCGACTCAGCTGCTGTAGTTTCCTCTGCTATAGTAGCTGGTGCATCTTCAGCGGAAAGACCCAGAACTTCTGCGTCCTTGGCGACGTTCTTTTTAGTGGCATCGTCATCAGGTTTACTGTCGTCATCAGTCGCAGCTGTCTTGGTAGCAGAATTCTCATTCGTATCCCTCTCAGGTGAGTGTATACGTAATTTCACAGCTTCTCGGACGTTGGGTTCCAGTGCGTCTAGAATGGGCTGGATGTACTCTCTGTCGACTTGATCCCAGTAGTCCTTGACCCCTCCCATGCGCGCTGCGTATTCTTCCTCGAGCCCCGCCTCCTGGGTTGACTGTGAGATTCTTCTCCCAAGGAAGCTCGCGGGGTGAGGGGGTAACAGGCAGTAACTCGGCATGAGGTATTCGTACCATCTCGAGTCACAGGATGCATAGCAGCTGAAAGCATTGTTCGTACGCTGAATGCCCCATACGCGAATCTGTGGAGGCAGGTTCTCGTTGATTTTCTGGACAAGATCCGGGTCGTCCACGATCAACTTGAGCGAGACCATGTTTCCGGCGGCGTGGACGCCCTTGTCGGTCCTCGCGCAGCGCAAGAAGCTCGACTTTCTCGGGTCGTCGGCATTGGCCTTGGAGATGGCCTTGGCAGCAACGAAGGCAGCGAAGAGGTCGCCCTCGATTGTTTTCAGGTCGTGGTTAATCTGCAGCCCGTGGTAGCCAGTGCCGGCATACCCTATCATGACAGCAACCTTCTTCTTCGGTCGGCGCTCCTCGGATGCGATCTCGGCTTCAGAGAACTCGATGCTCATGTAGCTGGACTCTGGCTTGGCCCCATCCTCGCCGACCCTGTCCGTCTTTCTACGCTTGCGATCCCGCCAGTCAAACTGCGGCCCATTCTCGCCGCCCCTGGCAACAGGTACTGGTCAGCAGCGTTGGCTGGGCTGTTGGAAGAGAAAATGCTGAGATGGGCAGACCTACTTGTTGGCCCTGCGACCGAAATCCCGCTTGCGCTTGTCGCCATTCCCGCGACTTGCTGCTTTGTTTGCACCAAAGTACCTTTGCCGCTGGCTGTGGACATTTCCATTGCCCGTGTCACTAGCATCCGGCTGCTTGGACGCTGGAGTGGAAGCTGGATCGTTGGTAGCTGCCGTAGTGATGGGGGCGCCGTCACGACTCGGGCGGTCGGTCGCGTTAGTGTCTGCTGCCATGTCAGTGTGTTGCGCGAGAGATTTGCTCGCATGGCCAACTTGTGGAGGGTGCTGATGTCGAGGTAATGGTCACGAAGCTCGAGCTCAACAAGCCAAGGTTTGCTCCCGCCGGCTGAACATGACGGCGTGCATGGATGATGGGTCAGGTCAATTGGCTTGAAATCATCTTATCGATAAGCATTACCGTCAGTCATCCCACCTTTGGTGCCCCACCTACCTAAGTACCAGGTACCTAGGTATGCACCCTAGTAGGTGCCCACGTAGGTGTGTCCTACCTAGGTAGGTAGGTAGGTGGTAGCAGCAGCACATCTTAGTAGGCCTCCAGCAGGTTTACATGTACTACCTAGGTAAGGTCACCTAACTAATTGTTACCTACATATAACTTTAGGTGCGTGATCAAACATCAACAACCAACCTTGGAAGGTTGGAAGTCAACCAACAAGTCGCTTGCCAGAATCACCTTCGATGTGAGCAGGTGGGATGGACACATAAAGGCGCCGAGTATAGAAGAACTCGAACCTGATTATCATATCCACGTAACAACTTGTTTGAGCAGTGTCTCCATCCCTACGTCGGTGGTCGGGCAACGTCGGGGTCGGGCACGTCTGGTCAGGCACGGCCCCC